ATGGGCCTACAAGTGAATCAACAACCTTCTCAAATCAAAAAAATTATTCAAATGGACATCACATAGGGTTTTTACTTAGGTTTAACTATAGGTCGGGCCGGGCCGGGCTCGGGCCAGGCTATTTTGGCAAAGCCCGAGCCCGGCTCGAATTTTATGCGGGCCGGGCTTTTTGGCCCGAGGTTAAGCCCGTGGGCCAAAAAGCCTGTTCAAGCCCGTCCGGGGGTCGGGCCGGGCCGTCGGGCCACCCGGCCCATGAACAGGTCTAGTCTCCACCAAAGCAAAGACTAACCTTCATGTTAGTGTCTCAGCTTCATCACCAACTTGGGGAACCTTTCACCTTCTCAATAACTGTTAGGAGTCCTCTTCTATCACCATCCTCATCCCAAGACTTAATGCAATCATTAATGCCTGAGAAAGGCTGAAATCTTGGCTCTTACACAGTCACCAAAAGCCAGTGGTGTAGTAAAGGCTGTCTAATGATCACATGCTTTGTGAACATCATCAAGCATGGGGGATCCAAGTTTCTGGAGATCATTGTATGAATTTAACTTTTGCGGGATCTATACGTGCACAAGCTCCTCATGATTCATGAAAGGGAGAGGATGTTGCAATTTGGTGTCCGTTTCTAGTAAGTGAATCTATTGAAATCCGTTCGAATCATGCATTTCAGTAGATTTTGATGAATTCACTATTTATCAGATTTGGCTGTTACAATGGGTCTACACCAAGGCCTCATTTGTTTTTCGGGAAGTAGGGGCGAGTTGGTAGGTCCCACAGAAAAGAAATAAACCTACATTCTTTTACCGTGTTAGTGGGTCCCGTGGAAACAAATGATTCTTGAGCGGCTCATTTACCTTAGGAAGTAATACTCTTCTCAGACTTGGGGAAATTACTTGCTCATGCACACCGTAAAATCACTAGTACGTGATGGGACAATATTGTCCCTTCAGTAATGCCACTTTTTTGGATAAATTGGCCATTGTACACATTTACTTGGGGAATAAAAGAACACTTGTAATGCTCTTATCTGGATAAGTGTTTCCCAAGAAACATTTGCATGGATAAGTGCATTTACCTAGGTAAGTCATTAACCAAGACGCGAACGAGACCCAAGGATCAGCACTTTGTCCTTGTTTATTTGCTCTAGTCATAGATGAATTGACTAAACATATTCAAAAGGAAGTTCCATGGTGCTTCATGTTTGCTAATGACATAGTATTAATCACTGAAACTAACAAAGGATCAAATGCAAAATTAGGTTTATGGACATATATTAGAAACAAGAGGTTTTAAAATAAGGACTGAAACAGAATATATGCAATGCAAATTTAATAATAGTAACAGTAGTGCAAACTAGGATACACTTAGGATTGGAATCCAAGAGATAACTCAATGTGACCTTTTCTGTTACCTTGGTTCAATAATTCATAACAAATGGGAGATGGGGAGGATACCACTCAAAGAATTTAAGCAGGATGTGAAAAATGGAGTGGTGCATCCAGAGTCTTATGTGATAGGTCAATGCCACTTTGGCTAAAAGGAAAATTCTATAAAACAGTTGTAAGGCCAGCTATTTTGTATGGAGTAAAATGGGCAGTTAAGTAACAGCATGTCCAGAAAATGAGCATGACAGAAACAYGTTTGCTTAGGTGGATATGTGGTAAAAGAAGAAAGGATAGGGTCAGAAATGAAGTCATATGAGGGAACCTAGGTGTAGCTCAAGTAGGGTGATAAGATGAGAGAAAGTAGACTGAGGTGGTTTGGTTCATGTGCATGGAAGACCATCTGCAGTCCTGTTAGAAAACTAGGAAAGTGATTTGTTACAAGTTGAAGAGGCTAGAAGAGCTAGGGGCAGACTGAAAAGGAATTGGTGTGAGAAATGATTTAAGTGTGCATAATTTGACAACAGATATGACACTGTACAGAACAGAATGGTGAAACAGGATTCATGTAGCCATCTCCATACAGTTGGGATTAAGCATAGATGATTATTGTTATTGCTGTTATTGTTATTGTTATGGCTATTAACCAATGATGGCCCCAGCTATCTTGGGCCTTGTGAGGGGTGGACTGGATATGGATCGACACATAAATGGCCAATCTAAGACTTGAACCTGTGTTCTCATGCTTGTCATCCCAAATTTACGAAGCATTCTTCTGTTAATGCTTGTCATTATTCTAACTAGTTTAAGATTGGATTTATATTCCCTTACTACTAATTAATAAAATCTTTTTTCCTTTTTTCTTCCAGGTCCTACCCATTGGAGAGGAATTACTTGCTTGTGTCACAGTCTTTAAAGACTTAGCTTCTTGTGGTGAGGGAAGAAATGCTTTCTCATCCATCTTTGAACATTTGAAGTGTTCTAGTCAGGAGGATCTGGGTCCTGAGAACGGACACGAAAGCGTCGGAACTGATACTGGCCATGATAGATATGATATTAGAAAGCATCCTCCTATGTTGCATTGCTGGAGAAAGTTACTAAAATTGATAGATGGAAAGGAAAGTTTCCCAGCCTATGCCATTGAGATTGTCAATGCATTGACATTAGGTGCTTTAGGCCTTTGTGTTGAAGGTAAAAGGTGGGTTTTTTTCTTGCATCACTGGTTATTCTCTTCTGATTTTTGCATGTTGATTTTATTTTGTTGTAGAATTATTATGTTAGGTGTTGCATGAAGTTTTTGGAATTAAATGTTGAAATCATGTTGGTTACATATTATATAGGGGAGAATCAAATAATTTCTGTTACATTACTTCTGTCAATCCATGACTTGTGTTATTTGTATATTTGAGGAGCAATGACCACTATAGAATTCATTCTGAACTAATTTCAATTCCAACACACATATGTGACTGGTTCTTGGATTAGCAATTTGACTGCTTGTCTATTCAGGTTGGCTTATCAGTTAGATCCAATGGCTTATAACTTCCCTACATTTCTTTCCTTGGCATATCTATTTAGATTTGAAGGAAAAGCAATGGGAAAGATATTTCTTATCGAATAAAGAAAGAGAATAGAGTTTTGGAAATTTGAATTATAATAGCATATTGATGTAGTGCAACATGTGGATGTTGAAGAGACAACCGATATGTTCATTGAGAATTGAGAAGTTGGGAGAATTTACGAATGAAGGACAATGTGTTGACACCTAGTTTTGGTTTTTTTTTTTTTTGGTTTCTATTTTCTAGTTTCCTTTCATTTGTATGTCATTTTTTTAGAAATTGATTAAAGTGGCGGTTCTAAAATTAGAACAAATTTACAAGTTAAAAAAATTATTATGTAATACTCCTATTGATACTTAGTGCATAAATATTACTTTATATGTTTTACTTAATATAAAAGTTATGATTTACATATTATTTGTCCTTACATAAGAGTTCAGAATATCTAAATGTCAGCCATATTTTTAAAGACTTACAGTATATGTTAAGATATATTTCATAATATTTAATGTTGGCAACCATAGAAGTGGGAATGTTTTGACATTTTAAACCATGTTTACAATCACCATCTCTTACAAAAGGCCACTCTTGAGTCTTGACACAAACCACCTTTTTTCTAGGGAATATCTAAAAATGGGACTGTGCTCTAAGGCTCTTACTACCTTGGATGAGATATTTCAATCCCTAGACTGTTCCATAACGTGCCCAACCAATAAATGGTGAAATATTGATTTTCCACTTTCTGCACTATTGCACTAAGGTGAGTGTATAGGTCACTGGGTTGGATCTGGCACAGGTTTGTTTCAACCAGGAACCTGACCCAAAACAGTGCCAACTCAAACCTGGGCCAACTTGGTAAACAAAGATGCAATACTGAGCCTGATTTGACCCTTTCCAAATATAGAACATCTTGCTGATCCTATCCTAACCCCTATAGGGTTGAGTCAATGCAGGTTTACCACAAAACAGTTTTGTTATACATGCTATTTTCAGTTAAATTTTAAATTCTCCTATCTCCCCAGCAAGAAACAAGGAACAAATAAATACCCATTTTCCCCTAGAATCACAAAGTTTTATGCCATGTCAAATTTGTACAAAAAATCCCCCATGTTTTGAAGGGCCAAGGCTTCTCCTGAAACTGTGGTTTAGAAAAAGAATAAAATAATGTTTAGAATTATTCAGATAACCCCTTTTGGCATCAATGATAAATTGAAAGTGGTGTTGCTCTATTTAGCTGTTCTTTGTAAGGCTTGGAAGGGTTGGTGTCATAGACCCAATAAGAGGCTGTAATGTGAGGTCTTGGCCTTCCAATTTTTTTGTTGACATCCTAGGTCCTTGTCATGGAAGGTGTAATCAAGCCCATTTTTAATTTCTTTTTTATTTTATTTTATTTATAGTATGCACTCTGTAGTTGGATAGAAGGAAAACAATATCTAGTGAGTTCATCAAATTCCCCGTGATTTTTTTTTTTTTTGCCTTTGCAATTAATCGTATTTGTAGAGAGTAGAGTTCATTCCTTCTGGGTTCATGCCATTTGACCATATTTTAAGCTTTTTTTTGGCTCAAGGCGTATTTTGAAATTCCTCTTTGATTTTATGACAGTTTGCCAAGTCTTCTGGAAAGCTCAATTCCACTTCCACAATAGGCTATTCTTCTCTTTTCTGGAAATTACAGATTTCAAGTCCATGCTTCCATTTCTATTGGCTGAAAACTTTCCAATTTGCAGGATCTTTGACAATGTACAACTTGCTCGTTGATAAATTGCAGTTATGAATATTCAGTTCTATTAGATTTGTATTACACACTTAACAGCCACAATCAAATATTTTTCTTTTATGTTCAATTTTTAATGCTTGGGTACAATTTCATGTTTTCAAGTCGCAGAGTTACTAGATTAAGTATTCTGGCTCTAATCTAAATGTCCTAACAATCTGAATTGGGACTGTTTCTCAGCTTGAACTTGGAGGGTGTGGCTATATTGAAATGCCTATTTGGGATTCCTCATGATATGGGTGCAATAGACAAATTCTCTGAAGAAAAATTCAAGGAGATAGAAGAATTGGTAACTCTTTTAGACAATAGGCTCAGTGAGGATGGAAATTTAGCCATTTCAAGTTTGGAAACCATTTTACCTCAGGTATAACTTATTTAATCTTTCATTGTGTTATTTTGGTGAGCAACATCCATTTGACATCACTGTCAATCATCATCATCATCATTTGTTATCAATTGTGCAGGTGATAGAATCTGCTAGGTTCATGTTATTGTTGCTGCAAAAGCCTACTGTTTCAATTAAAGTGGATGACATCATTTCTAGTGAAGTTTTGCCTCTGATATCAAATAATGTTGTAGTTCCATCGAAAATCTTTCCTCCTCATTTCTTATGGCCATCCTTAACTTCGATGAGCATTACAAGTGTTGAAGCTGGGTCATCACTTCCTCTGGTCAGGAAGACTGAGGATAGTGCGGAAAAGGCTGATGATTACTTTTCCTTTGAGGGTCTTGCAGAGAAGTTTCTGTGGGAATGCCCAGATTCTTCTGATAGGTTGTCAATGCCATCACTCCCTGTAAAGAGAAAACTAGCATCAATGGAGGGCTCTAATAGACGTTCCAGAGTAGATAATTCAGGTGCAGAAACTGTGGGTCCTAATTCATTTTCACGAGGATTGGGGCCACCTACTGCCTCTTCTGGTCCTACTCGTAGAGATACCTTTCGGCAGCGGAAGCCAAATACTAGCAGACCTCCTTCTATGCATGTGGATGACTATGTTGCCAGAGAAAGAAATGTTGATGGTGTAAGTAGTGGTTCAAATGTTGTAACTTCTGCTCAGCGTGGAGGATCTACTGGTGGCAGACCTCCATCAATTCATGTGGATGAATTTATGGCTAGAGAAAGGGAGCGTCATAATCTTGTAACTGCATCAATTGGGGAACCAGTGGTACAAGTCAAGAATGTTTCTGCTGAGAATATTTCAGATTCCAGTAAGTTCAACAAATCTAGGCAGTTGAAGGCAGATCTGGATGATGATCAGGAAATCAATATTGTGTTTGATGATGAGGAGTCTGAATCTGATGATAGGCTTCCATTTCCTCAGCCAGATGATAACCTGCAGCCTGCCCCTGTCATCATCAGTGAAAGTTCTCCCCATTCAATTGTAGAAGAGACTGAAAATGATGTGAATGAAAGTACCAAGTTTTCTCAGTTGGGTACCCCTTCAGTTTCCATTATGGATGAAACTACACCAAGTGACTTTTCTTCAAGGAGGCCAGTTTCACGGCCTGATATGCCATTTAGTCGTGAAGTGAGTATTTCTTCAGAGAAGTACTTTGGATCAAATACAGAGAGAGGGTTCTTCCAAGAGCAATCTGATGATGTGAAGAATGTTGTTCCCATTACATCCTCTGGTGGATTTGATTCTTCTGCATCAGGGAACACATCAGCATTTCCTGCACAATTTTATAATAAGAGTTCAGATTCTAGAACTCCTCCACCCACTTTCTATCAGAGGGACAGTCCACAACAAGCTACTAACATTCCTATAATTACTGGAGCTCCAGGGCCATACGATCAGAAGGTTCTGCTCAACCAACCGCCTCTACCTCCATTGCCCCCTCCGCCAACAGTGTCTTCTGCAATTTCTCAGACGGCTGAATCTGTTCAAAGTCATACCTCTCCATATGGTCACTCCATGAGAGATTTGCAGCCACCACTTCCAACAGGTTTCCCACCACAAGCATTTGATACTAATGGTCCTAGTACAGTACCAGCTTTCCATGTAAGAGAATATGAACTTGTTCATAGATCTTTTGTTCAGATTTTTTTTTTCCAGGTATCTCTTTGTAGAGTACTAAGTGGATATTCTAATGTGCAGCTGCAAACAGAAAACCAGTCTGCATTTAACAGCAGTGCTACAGCATTAACAACTCATCATCATATGGTGGATTCGAAGTACCCTTGGACTTCAGTCTCTTCTGGTAGGTTGCATGATGAGATCAACACATCTGGTGGGTCTGCTAGGCCTCCACTACCACCACTCCCTCCCATGCCACCACCATATTCAGCTCCTCCAGTTACACAAACAGCTGTTAAAACTTCTGCTTCCCAATCTTCAGGGTATAATCAAACAAGTTTTATAACAACCCAACTTCCACTGACTTCTTCTGTACCTTTAAGTGATGTAAGGTCAGGTATCTTTTCTGCATCTGGAGGCACTCTGAATTATTCACCACCACCACTGGTACCTCCCTTGCTTCTCAGGCCTCCATCCATGCCTGCAACTCTTTTTAGTGGTATGCCAACTCAGCAGCAGGGTCAGAATCCACCAAGTATTCCACATACTGTTACTGTCCCAACTCCTCAAGTATCGATTCAGTCAGCACAACCTCGTGCACAGTTGCAACCACTGCAACCGCCACAGCCTCCTCGTCCACCTCAGCCTCCTCAACACCTTCGGCCGCCCATTCAAGTTTCACAACAGCAGTCAGACCAAGGAGTTTCTATGCTACATAGCCCCATCCAAATGCAGGTGCAACCATTACAGATGCCACAACAACCACATATTTCTCCTATTCATGTATATTATCAACCCCAACATCAAGAGCACCTTTCACAACCCCAGCAACTGCAAGTTGATAATTCGCATACACAAACATCGCATCACCAAGGTGACAATGTGACCCAACAACAACAAGATTCAGGGATGTCATTACAACAGTACTTCAGTTCTCCTGAAGCTATTCAGGTATTCCTTGAAATTGAATATAATGTTCAAATCAATTTTGATGCGCATGAGAGTTGTTTTATCAGTTCTCTCTTTTAACTGGTTCTTTTGTTTCCATGAAGTCTTTGTTGAGTGATCGGGAGAAACTGTGCCAGCTTTTGGAGCAGCATCCAAAATTAATGCAGATGCTTCAGGTAGGACCTTTTTTTCCTTAAATGAACTGAATGCAAGAAACATTTTACTCTGGAAATCCGAGTACTAGAATTCTTTGCTCCGTTATGGCCTAGTTTGTTTTTCTGGTAGTCATTTACCTGGGTAAGTGCACTTATCCGGGCAAATGTTTCCTGGGAAACACTTACCCAGGAAAGTACACTTACTAGTGCTTTTTATTTCCCAGGTAAAGTTAAACAATGACCATTTTATCCAGTAAAGTGTCATTTTTGAAGGGGTATTGCCCCATCATGCATTAACAATTGTCCCTGCGGATGGGAGAGTTATTTACCCAAGTGGGCGGAGGGTGATACTTACCCTAAGCTGCATGGGAGTCGTTCTTCTCTTTGGGACAACTAATACCAAAACACGAATGTGGGTGAGTTGGTCAATGCTTGCACTGACCAACTTACCTGCCCTTTTTACCAAAAATACTAACGAGGCCTATGAGGAACGTTAACTGCAGATCAAGGGCATAACTCAGTCGTACATGCATGAAGGGCATAACTCAGAAATTCATGCATGAAACCATGTTTATTTCTTTTCAAGCTTCTCTACTCGACTGAAGTCGCATTCAATCCACACTCTGATTTGAGAACAGTGCAAGAATATAAAATTGCATTACATTCATTGAAACTTGAAAGAATGGACGGCCAGAACTTTTAGTGGTTGATTATTTTGATTTGCATTAATTTCAGTGCCATTTTCAATCTACATCTGAATCAGTGCTCTAACATATTATGTGCTAGAAATTTGAAATCTTTATGGTTTTCTCACTTGGGGGTGGTGTGTTGTATGAGGATACTGCTGCATCTGTTTTGAAATTGCCCTTAAGACAAGCTTTAGTAGTTACTCGTTTTTGAAAACCAATACCTAAAATCTGTGTTTCTCGTGTCTAATCAGGAACGGTTGGGCCAACAATAGCAGCATTATATAAAACCGAGGTTGTTTTCACTTCTGGGAGGAACTATTCATTCAATGATTCTTTCACCTTCGCCTTCTGAAGACTCGCGGCTGGAATCCAAGTGACATCATCACCAAAGAATCATTCCACTCCCTTCTATCGGAATTGGGAAAGAAGTTCCCTAATAACCTTGTTTTAATGTATCCATGTTTCTACATGTGTAAACTTTATTTCTTTTTTCCGTGTACCATAAGTCTAATATGATTTTTGTTTTTTTAATCGGTGACATCCGATCATCTACTAATTTTCTTTGTCATTAGGAAATAGTTGTAAATATTATTCTTATATTTAAGGTTGTACACTCGTAATGGGGAGTGGAGTAGGGTTAAGGGTCGACAAGAAAGTTTTGAAGCTTGTACGCGGAAAATAACTCACTTCGAGTGATGGTTGTTTGAACTAGCAGATATCTAACATGCAGCTTACATGTAAAAGAAACTCTTGTCTCCTCAGAAAACCCAATTAAAAAACTTTTGTTGAATGGATTATCCAAGAAACTCACCTTGGTGACTGTAGTTTGTTGGTTTTTGCTATATGCGTTATAGCTTGGAAGTTGTATGATTGATAGTGTCAGCTAGTTTGGCATAGAGCATGACGCAACGTGCTTTGGTGGCTCCCATGGTACGATCTCTAGCTATTTGTAGTGAAGACCTAGCATCAAATCCTTTTGCTGGGATGGATTACCCTCTGTTGAGTAAAGGCCTTATGTATGCATTTAATAAGTATGCATGTGTATTTTATATCAAATATTAAATATTTATTATTTTATATAAAATATAAAACTTTTAACATTTATCATAAGTTGATACGTGTCAACATAAGTTAACACGTGCCAATAGATGACTCGATTAAAGTATGGGAGAGAGTTGTCCTCCTAGGTGAGATCTTCATTTTCATTCTTTAAGCAACATGGGACTCGGGACAACATTCAATGGAAATACTCACTATTGGGTGTTGTTCTAAGCCCTATATTGCTCAAGAATGGGTTTGCCTTAATCCAAGTCTAGGGATCAATGCCTTATTTTTTGTGCCATAGGCCCAAAGCCTTACCCTTGCTAAACCTGGCCTAGTTTGTTGATCTAGTTTAGACTTTAATGGGTCTAAAGTTGGCCTGGCCTGTCCCATGTTTTCCTAAGTATCTTTTCATTAGGCCTAGAAGGCCTTTAAGCTTGACCTGGGTCATGTAGGGCTAGGCCCAAACTTATAATCTAAGCCTGCGATGCAGGTTGTACTTGAGCCTAGGCTGAAGCCCTTATCAGTTGCACAAAATCTGGCCCAGCTTGGGCCATGAGCACCCCTAGTATAACCCATGAAGCAGTACAAAGGAAAAATTGTAGCATGCAATTTTTCTGAAAAAAAAAATAAAGAAAACAAGTAGGCCTTCGCTATGGATTGGTCGCTTRGTATGCTATTCCTCATGGATGTATTCCAACTTCACACAGCTTATTTTCCGATGATACTATAATTTTTGCTAGAGGTGATAAAAAAAGTTCAACTGCTTAACAAATCTTATGACTTTTTAATTATTTATGAACATGTCTCTGGTCAAGGGATTAACAAGGATAGAATCCTGTTTTATTGTGCATCACAAAGTGAATGGTTCCACAATTAATATGATAAAACATGTTACAATTTTTAATCATAAAGAGCCTCCCTTTTCTTATTTGGGAACTCTTATTGGTCATAAAAGACCAAAAACAAATGATTTTGACAACTTAGAAAATGATTGAGGGGTGGAAAGCTAAGGCACTCTTTGTAAGAGGTCAATTGATTCTTATTAAACATGTTCTTTGCTCCATGCCTATGCATATGCTAAGTCTAGTATCTCCTCTCAAGGTGATTATTCATAAAATTCATAAATTATTGGCTAACCCTTTGTGGGGCACTTCAAATTTTGGTAATATAATACATTAGGATGGTAACATAATGCATGGAGATGCATTCTTAGTATAAGTTTTCTTTTTGATATTTTAAAGGGCCTTTAAATTGAAAGCTCGGTTCCATCTTTTGCAATGAAATAGTATTTGGGCAGAGTTTATGACTTCTAAATGTGTTAAATCAACTCCTTCGACTCTTTTGTTAAGTCCGAGAAATGGCTCCAGATTTTGGAAGGAAATGATTGATTTATAATGGATAGCTGTCTCATTGTTAATGGTTAGTTGATAAAGGTGATTTTTTATATTGGTATGATAATGGAAAGGTTCGGGGACTCTTATCTTTCATTTGGATGATGAGGATGTTAATGACTTTTCAATCAATTAAGTCTTATAATATGATGGGGATTAGCACTTTGGTTTTTCCAATTATTTTCCCCCTTGTATCATAGACATGGCAAAAGGTTGAAATGTTTCTTTATGGGAAGAGGATAAAATTATTTAGAATGCAAATTCTCTTCATTATCAGATTGGAATATCATTAGACCTTAGCCTCCTTTGATTAATTGGTACAAAATGGTGAGAAAATTAGGTCTTCCTAGTTCCTACTAAAATTTCTATTTTCATGTGGAAATTTTTGCACGGAGCTGTTCCTGTTGATGAGGTAATTAAAAAAAGGAATCTATCTTGCCTCAAAGTTGCAATTATTTGTTTGCTCATGGTGTTACGGAGTTAGTGGAAAATTGTTGGAAATTCCAAACTTTTCCACTCAACATGTTTTTGATAGAATTCTCATGTGATGTGGTGGAATCAAGCCTCCGTTGATTCTCCAATTAAATTCACAACTTTAGTAGTATTCTTCATTCTCTCATTGTTTGGATAATTTGGAAGGAAAGTTGTCGCAGATATGAAGGTAAGAAATCTCCTTCTTATACTCTTATTCTTAAGACAAACAAATGGTTGAAAAAAATTGCTTTTATAGTGTCAATTCTCTAGTGTTTGATATTCTCAACATTTCTATTTATCCAAAAAAGCAAGGAATAATTTAATTGTAGATGGTACTTGCCGTGGGAACCCTGGAATTAGTGGAAGAGGTGGTTGAAACTTGAAAACAATAGCTTTTTAGGGGGCTTTTGCTTTGCTTTCCGCAATTTTATAGCAAGGGCACCCCTATTAGTGTTGAATTTAATGCTCTTTATGATTATCTTTATATTTGCCTATCTCACACATTTTGGAGGTAAAGATTGAGAGTAATAATCAATGTTTGATTGATATCCTTCTTGAGAAAATTCCCCATCCTTGGCATCTAACATACAAAGGGAGGCAACATTTTTGCTTAAAGAAGACTATTTTGGTATTTTGCCTCTTTATATAGGTTAATGGTCTTGATGGTTTATGATTGGCTTTTATTTTTATGTTTTTCGAGCATTGTATTGGGTTGGGATGAGAGGGTGAGGTTGTGTTCTGTTGTTGGGTTTTGGGTCCTCCTCCATTTTGATTTACCTCTCTTTTGATAATTGCTGATTTATCTCCCTGTTAAGCATGACGGGTTGTGGTGATTATGCGTCGATTATAGACCATTAATTCAATAGAATTACCACAAAAGATAAATTCCCTATACCCATCATAGACGAATTGCATGGTTTCCAATTATTTATTTATTTATTTTTTTGAAATTGGATGGTATCACCAAATTAGAATGTATATTTCGAAAATGAATGGTGCGTTTCAGTCTCTTCTCCAAACATTTGTGTGTGTTGGGACGACCATGTGTGCCCTATTCTCAATGGAACCAACAACTCTTTGTGAAAAAGAGAGAAGTCCAGATGATGATTCTTGATTTAATCCATGCCTGCCCTATTCTCACTCCCCTTTTCAATCGTGCATTGAAAAAATCTCCCCATTAATAAAAAAAAAAACGGTGTGAGCACAATTTTGTAAAGACTGAACCCACACTCATTCTACAAGGCCTAACCAGTTCCTATAGGATGACTTCACTACTCCCACAATCACGATGAACTCACAGATAGTTCGAACTCTGGTACGTAATATTCCTGCTGATTTTCTTTGGTCCTCAACTCCTGATGATCCGATTTCGAACTAATAATTGCAACTTAATTAGGATTGAAATTAGAACATGGGTACGATCTCATGCATTCTTTTCTTTCAAAGTTGCTGATGTCTGATGATAACCTACTACTACTTCAGCTCATCAGCTGGTCACTCTGCGCATCACTCCGTTTGAACAACTAATAAAGAGTCAATCAAGAGTTTAAAAACCCATGGACTACATGATGTACAGAGACAAGCTCTTCATGGGTCGGGCTTTGCTTCCTTATAAACAGAAAATCAAATCACCAGGCCCGAGTCCAGCCTTATATAAAACCTGAAGTCCCATTTTGGCAGGTATTTTATAATATAATATTTTATACATTTAATATATTAATACTTTTTATATTAATTTTATTATACATTTAATATATTATTAACATATATATTAGGTCAGACTCGGGCTTGGGCTGGGCTTATTTGGACCCAATTTTTAGAGCCTAAACCCGAATTCACAGGCTTAAAATTTTGTCCTAGCCCGATTTAAGACAGGCCAGGCCAGGCTAACCCATTGGGCTACCTGACCTATGAACAGGCCTACTACCCACAAGATGTTCCAGATACTTGGCTGTAGTATCTTGTAGGTAGGTGCGGCAATTAAGCGCCTTTATGGGTAATAGATTCAGATGCAATTTGAATCCAGATATGCCATCCACAGCCCTACGACAAGGCATTACAGCACATTGGAAATATCTCCCATACTTTTATGTTGTTGATAGTAGATCTGAGCTCGAACATTTAATATAGCCTTAGTAGTTCTGTATAACTAGCCCTTACTCTAACCCTATACTCAGATGATTGGTTGGTTTGTTAAATTTCTTATGAGACTTTGATTTTAATGTTGAAGTGGGACATGGAATGGAATAGAATTATCAAATGTAGAATAATTTTCAGTTTTTGGTTGTATTTCCATGTACGCCATGCATTTATGGTGTGAATTATTATTTATAGCGATGTTTTTGTGAACACATTCATCAAGCTTGCTTGCCTGCTTGGAAAGATGATGGCGGTACAGCGTATGATTCATCTCCTAACGCAATTCAGTACAATAATTCTGCGAAATCTAATCTTTTTTTTCCTTGAATGGTGTGCACTCAAAATGATGGTCAACAGTCAACACCATTAAAATAAGGTTATCTCTAGAGGTTCACTGCATATACCGGTGGAGGAAAGATCAAGATTAAGGGTGCTAATCTATTGTTTTATTTTGGATAAGAAAGTTAATTAGTTATGTACAATGGGAAGACAGATGCCATCCATTCTGGGGTATAGAAAACTGAGATTGATCTCTAGGCTGAGCTCATTAAAATTAAGAAAAGGAAAAACCTTTCTCAATTCAATTAGGCCCGAACTAGTTGTAGGGATTCTATAACTATATATGATTCTAAATTCTTAGACTTAATATTAATGAATTAAGCCCTTGCTTGATTTCATTTATAAGAAGTACGTCTTTTAAAAGCTGAGACTATGCATTAAGTGGTTTTATGTATTTGGTAAAAAAGTGGAGAAGAAGTA